ATCAGCAGACAGGCAGAGAATATATTTTTATCATGTGCTGCCTTTGAGTAATGTGCAAAAAAAAAAACCCCACAAAGATAAATTATGTTATTCTGGTGTCCTCATGTTCAGGCCTTTATATGTATGATTTATGCACACCGCTGTATTCTTTTGTAGAGCTCAAAGTTAAATGTACATCTTGTCATTCCAATCGATCGAGTTGTTTTCTGTTATTTATTGTTGATTGTAACAACTTTGACAATCGTAAAAAAAAAAATAGAAAAAGAAAAAAAGGTGCAACACTTCTTTTGATGTCCCCTTACTCAACTAGTTTGTGTCATAATGGCGTTTACCAACTTCTTGAAGCTGATGCACAGGAGTATTTCCACTGGATAGTTCTGCAAATTCAAGTCAGAGAGACATTTCTGTGCTGAAGGTGTCACACTGACATGTGCCTTTCCATTCTTGGAAACCTCTTCTAGGTATGAGTCATTTTACATTTAGAAGCGTATTTCAATAGGACAGGAGCGATACGAGCATGCCAGTCAGTGCGGAACCTCTTGCAGATTGCTTCAGCATAGCCTTAAATGGATAGCTGTTTCATGTCAACTGCTGGTGTGAATTTAAATTCACAACCTGAATGCAATTTACTGCAAAATCTCAAAGTCTACTGTACAGTGTATAGTTAAATAAATGCATTTTTCCACCTGTTATATTTGATACAAAAAAAGTGGGATTCCACCTGAAGTGTGTTTGTGTGTGTGGAATAAAGAGATCAAAGGATTTCAGATAATTGTGATTGTGTTATCTGATTCTGTACTTTGAAGGTAATCAATCTGTGTGTGTGTGTGCGTGTGTGTGTGTGCGTGCGTGCGTGCGTGCAACAACGCCTCTGGAGGCAGTATGAATAAGGCAAAAGATCTTGTGTTCAGCAGGATTCTTAAATGAAAAGCACTTTGGTCCAATGATGTTTGTGACTTTGCTTTTATAATTATGCTATGCTGTTATCATTTCTGTTGAAGACAATATAATGTTGCAATGATAAAAAGCAATCCAAATTCTCTACAGGCTATGGAGGGCTGCGTCTTTACTTCCTTTTGCCGTTTAGTAAAGAAGATGAGATGCAACAGTCCTAGCAATCCTTGCCCCAGCAACATTAAAACATAGAAATAAGGAGTTTCCTTCAAGTGTTGAAACTTTTATGAAGCAAAATCAAGGAAAAGTAGAAAGAAGAGGACATAATATTTTGACTATTAAGATCCATCCCAGTGAAAATAATTACTAAATAATCCTGCTGCTCCATGTAAAGAGTATACCCTGGGTATCAGATCTGAAATTATTAAATCAATGAACGGATTTGTGGACCAAGAGGAAATTATTTGGCAACTATTTTGATAATTGATAAATTGTTTGTGTCCTTTTTCAAGCAAAAATGTCAAAAGTGTTCTGGTTCCATCTTTCAGATATTAGCATACACTGTTTTGTTTTGGTCCCTCTGATGTGATAGTAAACTTAATATGTTTTGGGGTTTAGAACGCAGGTCAGACAAATCAAGCAACACTTTGTGTTCCCTGCAATTTTGATGGCTGTTTTTAAGTTTAGAAGATGAATTGAATCCATCATTAAAAAAACCCCATCCAAAACTGGGGAAAAAAATTAAATCTGAAACTTTAAAAAAAAGATCTTTTCATGCAAATCTGTCTCCATACCCTTGGTATCACGGATGAGACTGTGTCAAACCACTGACACAGACTAAGGCCACAATGCTCCACCAATATCCTTATCGTTAGTGTTACTGTAAATTTGTATTCAAGAATGAGGAGCTCGGCAGGCTGAAGGGACCTCAGAGTTGTGTTGCTGCTGAACTGAAGAACACTGAATCTGCTGCTTTGCAGAGAGCACCAGGAGATCCCCGCAAAGCATCCAGTGGAAGTTGTTAGGATGCTCCACTGTTGTTGTCCTGTTCCCTGACATGACTAATAAAACGGATAAATGAAAGTATTCTTGACTTGCCTCATGCTCATAAAAGACAGTCAAGACAGTCATAAATATGTATCCAGCAGAAGGGGGTGGGGGATCATAAATATTCATTGTAGAGTTTCACGAATCACGGGCGCTCGCTCAGTTGCATTTTGCATGGGTTGCACGAATGTTCCTCAGCACAAATCCTGCCAACTCTGTTCCTTCCTCTTTCTAGTTGAGAATGGAGAAGTGAGGAGATTGTGTGTGAACCCTCTCACATGGGAAATGAACCGACAAATCAGGATGAAATGAAAATCAAACGAGAGGAGGTTGACTGAGAAAGGCAATTACCTCTAATGAACAACATTTGTCCCCAGCACACAGTCCCAATCAAATCATCCCTCCTCCTCTCAGTCTCTGTTTCTGCTGTACCTCTCAGTTCCTGTCATCATCGTTGTGCTTTCTGTCTCCATTTCCACCCTCTCTGCCCCCCTCTTTTTCCCTGTCATCATCCCTCTGCTGTTGTGAGATTGTTGATCTCCCCAGAGGGACTGTGGGATGCTGGAGGAGTACGAGAGTAACAGGTGTCTCATTACTGTGCTAATGGTAGGCCACAGGGAGAGACACACACACACACACGTTTTTACAGTGACAAGCAATGGCAGAGATGATAACTCCTCCACATGCCTCACATTCTTGCGCACTCTCTCTCTCAGTCATCATTTCATGGGTGAATTACCAGGCATGAATAATTTTAACTTGTCGATGCCTAGAGCCGGAGTCTATCTTGAGATGCATGCCCACACGACTGCCAGCAATTCTCAAATCTTCCATTTAACACCAGTGCAAGATTTACTTGAAAGCTGAAGCTCCAAGCTATGAAAAGATTTTTTCCCACCCACGATTTTTGGAAAATCAACTTAAAACTCCTTTCCTATTTTACTGCCACGTTGGAAGCGTCAAAATGGGCTGCAGAAATAACTGATAGCATTTTGAGACCATCACTTGGTGACACCAGCTTCTCTTTTTGACCTGGATCCTTGTTTGCAGTGCGTTGAGGATCCAGCGAGCTCATTATACTGAGCAGACACGTGCATAAGGGGGTGCACTGGGTGCAAGAGCACCTGCCCCTTTGCCCTTTGACGTGCAAAATTTTATTTTTTAATTTGTAAAGCTCCTTTAGTGAAAGCCTACCCAATCAAACTATTAGTAAAATGAATGCATAATAACTTAGCAGTAAATAAAATGGCCCACATGATGAACTTACATCTGATGACCTCATTTGTGACGAGCCCTCCTGTTCAGACACCGTTAGTGATTCAGCAGCACTGCCTACAGGACACCTTCGATTCCGCCAGTGAGAGGGGTTTGCCGCAATGTGCTTGTTGTGGGTTGTTGGATGTATTTTACAAGAAAGACGCAAAGAGAGCAAGCACAGTAGTTGTGTATATTGCTGTATTGTCGCCTGTAGAAGTAACGTTAGCTGCCGGCTAACACTGTGCCGACAGCTAACGTTACTTCTACGCACAGAGAAACAAAGGTGCTCTGTTCACTTCGTTGTTGCTGTTTGAAGGGGAAAAGTTTCATGGGCATCGAGAGGTGTGGTCTTTTTTATGTAATTTGACTAAAAACTTTTCATTTAAGCTAGGATTATTACAGTAACTTTATAAAAGCCTTGGGCTTTAAAATAATTATAACAACAGTGGTAAAACAGGCTTATACTGATACTTATTCCTCCGATTTATAGCTTACTTATCAGACCTTTGTAAAATGATAATTTAATTCAGAACAGTATTGGAATAAATTTACATTTTTACAGCAGCTAAACAACTATAAAAACTCAATAACTGGAAAATATGAAAATGTCAATGTAAAATAAATAATATTTCTGACACCAAGAGTGAGGAAGAAATGGCCAATACATAACAATGTATTTCTGTATTGATATTTTGAGAACAGCCCTGTTTAAATCCTTGTTCCATGTGCCCCTTTTATACTCTGAGCACGAGCCCTTCCAAAGGTCTCTGCACATTCCTGATACTGTCTCTCTACAGCAGTAATGATCTCTCATTCATCAGCTGCAGACTTAGTTCTATCTCCAAACACACACAGGCATGCGCGCGCACACACACACACACACACACACACACACACACAACACACACAACACACAATTGCAGAAACAATCTTCCACACTTAAACAAATCCCAATGAGGCATGTAACTGGTAGTTTGTGCCTGGCTGTTTGCTTGTTAGAGAGATATCAGCTGCTTAAATTGTGTTTCTCTGCGTCACCGTGAGGGAGGATAGTGCAAGCACTGTTTTTGTGCCCTTACTTGAGACGAGTGTTATGTGCACGGGTGCACAAGTGTGGCAGTATTCATGCTCATCAGATAACAAAGTGTGTTTATGTCTCAGGTGCAGGCTGAAATTTAAACCACTATTAAAGAATACGCTGCTGCAACATATGAATAAATCAACTCCAGTTGACAGGAACTGGGCAATGTGTGTAACCTCTGCAACGCTACTTTAACAGTATGTATTCTTTCACTCATAGCACTTAACAGTTTAGAGTGCACACACTTTCAGTGGGGATTAATGTGCTTTGCAAGCTACTAAAGATTACTCTTTGTGTGCATGTTTTGTGTGAGTCTGTGTGTGTGTGTGACCTGCTGCATGAGGCTCACGGGTCATTACCCAGTCAGTCAGAGGACACAACAGGCCATTATCCCGGGGAGTCTGGATACTAAATTTTTGATAAGCCTCGAAAGCGGATGTCCTGTTTCTCTTCTCACATATTACAGATGTACACTAAAGACCCAGCTACCCATTAAAAACTCAGGAATACATAAACCATGACTGTGACTATGTTTCTGCTCAGCAAGACAGCAGGGGAGTGCAAGTGTGTTGGCCTTAGCAGAGATGTTGAGTCATGTACCAATCTGATTAGCTTTCTTCCTCTTCCCCTCCATCATAACCATTCAATATACATATATATATATCTGTACTGCACCACAGCCAGTTAAAAACCGAATACAAAAAAAAAACAGCTAAAAGACTTTATGGTAGTTTCTATTTATTATCAAAATATGTGTATATGATATATAAAAATGTGACTTACAAACATATCATAATAATAATAGATATATAATTGGTACTACATATAAAAAACATTTAGCATGGCCTTGGAGCACATTACCGTTACATTTCCTGTGACTGTGTGGTCTAAAAATTGTTTTTCGGCAACAGTTGTGACACAATGTGTGTAAATGACTCTGAACAGCCCTATGAAACCTTCAGTGCAACAAAGCATGTAGCCACCTTAGCCATGTCATCGCTTTGTTGTAGGACCGGGAGAACTGATAACGTAGCTACACATCCATCCATGGAGGAATGTCATAAAATGTTGCACATCCTGGTGGTTTCTGGGAAGTGTAGTCTGTTGGGCAGAGAGTCTTCTGGCAGCCTGGGGATTCCATCCAGGACCTCTAGATTTGGCAAACAGAGGAAAACACTGCACAGAGACGAAAACAGAGAGAGAATTGTGGTCAAATCAACCTGATATGATTGCTATTACACCTTTAATGTGTCCTTCCCTTGCTCTGATGCACTCTCTCCTCACCGTGCACGGTAGTCCCGAGTGAAGGTCACTGGGTTGCGGGTCAGGTTGAGGGAGCGGAGTGGGCTGTTCCCCAGAGCTCCCAGTCCCCCCAGAGAGCCGATGGCGTTCTCAGACAGACAAAGATGTTCCACTGCTGGGAGCTTTGGCAACTGACGCAGACACACCAGGTGGTTACACTGCAGGTTTAGCATTCTGCACCTGCCCAATGGAAGCATAAATAAGGTTTCTCTTTGTGGTTATTGTCACTCAAACTAGCATTATATTGGAGGAAGTAGGCATAAAAGAAAGAAAAAAGTTCCATTGTGGTTGTATATAAAGAGGAAACAAAACTGTGCAATTATGCTTTTGGTACTACTTTCTGAATAGACAGGTGCATACATGCTAACACAAGTTAGCACACAAGTAATTGATCCTAAGCTGGATTTTAGCCATAGGCTAGTGTATCGGCTTTAAGTGTCTGAAAATGTCCACGTTTACGTGAGTCAGTAGAGTTCTAAAAAGATACCTATTATTAGGAAACTGCAAAAAAAAAAACATATGTTATATATATTATGTCACATGGCAATCAGGATAACAAAAACCAAACACCAGATACAGTAAGCAAAAGAAAAAGCTCTCACATCCAACTACAGCAGTGATAAAGAAGTGTTTGACAAGGTAGTGGATCTTTAATATCATCTTCAAATTGAAGCCTCTAAAGACAGTGTGACGTGACTTTACTTCTTGGAAGGTTTATTACTGTATCAGTCTGAATTAAACGTTTGCTATTCATCTAATGTTGGGCGTCTCCATTTTCTCAAGATTAGAACAGGCGTTACGTTCCAGTGCCGTTAAATTTCCTTCTACAGGATATGGAGTTGTGGTGCATTCTGGGTAGTGTGTGGTTCATACCTTGGCAGACGCACAGAACTCAGGTCTGTGAGGGAGTTTTCGATCAGTTGTAGTTTCTCCACACGGATCAACCGGCAGAGGATCCGGAGGAAATTCTTCTGCTGGAAGGGGTCGCCCAAGTCCTGGTAGGACAGATTTAACTCCTGAGAAGAGACAGGTGGTAGAATCATCATGGTCTTCCTCTTTCTGACTCCCTCTTTCTCTCCATTTACTCCTTCACTTTCTCATTGCCTCTCTAAATCTCTTTCTCTATTCTTCTCCTGTACTGTGTATCTTTCCCATTACACACACATGCACACACACAATGTTTGCTGACTTACCAGACAGTTTTCCCAGTTCTCTTGCAGTCTCTCCTCCCATCTCTGTCCTCTCTCCTCTCCCCTCCTCCTCCCTCTCTCCAAACAGATGTCACCCCCCTCTCTTTGAAACAGCTCCTCTTCTGATGGCCCTTTTTGATGACATTGCCAAAACAGAAAAAAAGTCTATAACAATGTTCCCATTATTATTATCCACTGAGTGAAAAAAAAAATGCTTGCAGCATGGATTTTTCTGTCACAGTATGTATGTCTACTAAATTAGATGAAACTTGCATGAAATAAAAACAACACAAAAATGGAAGCTTGAATCATTCATTTCAAATTCAGCTTCAATAATGCAGCATATTACAAAATCCAACTTCACAGTAACAGGTTGCAAGCTCCCCTGTTTCTTTTTACTCCTACAAAAACTAAATTGAATTTTCTTAAACAAAGAAGCCACAGTGCAGCTTCTCCCTTTTTATTTTTATCACAGAAAGTTCTTATGTCACATTTCCCACCCTTCTATTTCTTCTGTTTCATTAAATCCATAATTACTGCAGCACGCAGAGCACCTCTACTGTGGCTGCATGTATTTTCGATTGTCAAAGTGCAAAGGTCGTAGTGGTGGTTTTGCTCCTATAGTGATCCAGACCTTCTCTGACCCTGGGGCAGGTCAACTGGTCACCTGTGACATCACATTGCTCCAGGCGATGCCATGACACAAACCGGAACCGACTGGATGGAAGCTGACAGAAAAAAGGAGAAGAGAACGATGTGAACGCTCGCTGGGCCAGTCAGTGACAAACATAGCAACCTCTTTTGATCTATACTCGTGGTGCCCTTTCAGAGTAAATCTCTGATTGGGTGAGATGCGTCAGTCTAATCATTAGAGGTTATAATAGAGTGCACAACACAGCACATACGCAGCCAATATGTACAGACGCCTTTGGAACATTCAGTATAAGACTGAAGATTCCAGTGATGAGTCATATCCTTCCTCCAAGTTTAATCAAAATTCACTAATTGATAGTCAAATGCATTCACCACAGTCAAATTACATTTCATGCTGGAGGACAAAAAAAGAGGTGTACTTGGGAATGGCTGGGCAGAACAGGAGACGCACTAAAGCTTAATCAACTGTAGCTTCCCATTAGTGCAATATAAACCCTATACCCTCAGCGTGCAGTTAGTATGAAGCCAAAATCGATAGGTCGTTTTGAAGACCATTAACCAATACTGCTACACGTGTTAAGAAGGGGAAAAGTGTTCAGTTGGAACTTAAACTCCTTCAGATTGGCTGACAAAAGCCACAAATGTTTTATCATCAGCCTCCTTCTTTCTCGCCTATATTGCATCCTGTAGCTCTCCTTCCTTTATACTGTATCCGTACATAAATGTTTTTGCCAATACGGATCATTTCGCACTTGTCATATTAAACATTCAAATATTTTATTGTTCCGTATGTGTTTCTTCTGTTCTTACCTCTAAATGGGGAACATTTTAGACTCTTTGTAGGTTAATTATAAAATTGCTAATGTCATATCTTTTCGCTATGTTTGTTGCTGCACCGGACTAAATTCTTCTCCTTATGTGACCTTTTCAACCTCCTTACCCTCATCTTGTTCACCGTCATGTTGTCTGTGTAACTTTACACTCATCCTCTGTTACTGTAGACATAGGAATGACCACCGGTACAGACTGACTGGTAACTCACAAAACAGCCCCAGGTCACGGGTTCACATCAAATGAAAATCACAGTAGATAAAATACTGTAAACAATAGAACTTGACAGACTGATGCACCTTCTCCAATTCAAATGAAGTGAGAATGCTGCCAGAATACAAAATGTGGATTATTCAGTCTACTATACTATAGTACTAAATACATTATATTTTATATTGTACAATGTCTAAATAAATGAATGAAAATAATGGATCTAATGTCGATGCCACCTGTAGTTCTGAAACAGAAACACCCATCATGTACACGAGCAATAAAAATTTCTACGCTTTCTACTTTGCAATATAATTCTTTACAAATTTTGCTTCAGGAATGTAAGCAATGCACCTTGCAGAGCCGTGAGCACGGTGAGTATTTTTAAGTAAGAATCTCTGCGTGGAACAGCGGGAGGATTAGGTGAGAAGACATTTTTCATCTTTCTTTATTCAAGTCATGGGGGTGAAAAATCGTTTTGCATAGCAATCTAGGCGAGAGGCCAGTTGCCCGAGGGTAAAACAGAGGGTGCTGAGAACAGACCGAGGATATTAGGTTCAGTTCAGCAAGGGAGGAAGACTGAAATGGGAGGATTGGAAGATGAAAGGATGAGGAGAAAAGGGCAGGACACAGGAGAGGTAAGAAGAGTAAAAGCTACAGATGTGAAGGGAGGGAAAGGAGAACTAATGCCTTGAGGACAGCAGCAATGAACAATTACTGGTTTATGATGTGTGTGTGTGTGTGTGTGTGTGTGTGTGTGTGTGTGTGTGTGTGCCACTCACAGGTGTACATACAAGTCCAGAATCAGGACTCTGGTCCACAGAGAGATGTGTGTGTGTAACCCCGAGGTCAGAGTACTGGGACGAGTGGGATTTTGGAAAACTGCCACTGAGAGTGTTCACACCTGAAGAACTGAGAGAAAGAGAGAGAGATAGAAATTAAATCTATTAATATCAGATTTCAAATAACTTGAAGTTAACAAAAAATTAAGAATAATCCTAGGAGAAGGACATTCGGCAAACCTTGCCCCCAAGTATGTGGCCCTGCTCATCCAGTAATGTTACATAATCACATCTTTGGTCCCTGACCCTTAAGGGGACCTGTCCTTGTCGTAATGTAAACCCTGGTGTGTGCTGAAACCCTGACCACCGAGTGGTTAGAGTTACGGTGAACCGGGCCTGACAATGCAGATTAGGACCCGTTGACATGGCAGCAGAGGACACCTGAGCAGGTGCCGTTAGCTCATAATAGCTGTATATTCAGGGGATGACTGGACATTGGTGTCTCTATAATTGATCCTTCTTGCCCTTAATGATTTGCTATGCCACCATACTAGTTTACTGTATAGGACAATGTTTGAATAAATACATAACATTTTCGAGGGTATAGAGTAGAGCCACTGTCTCTTGTGTCTGATAATGTAATTAAATTGGCAAACAACAAAACATCACTGATCACGATATCACTGTTATCTACTAACCTTTCTGACATGTCCCAATCGTCTTGTGATGAATTATCCTGGCCTTCTTTAACACACTGTGTACGGCTCGGTTTAGCCCTGTCAAACCGTAGCTGTTACCCATGGAGCCCGGTGGGTTTGTTAGTATCCACAGACAGAAGGATTACCGCTCCTGTTGGCTGGCTCGGGAGACTGACACCGGTGTGGGCCCGCTGCTGCAGGTGAGGCTGATCACTAAAAGCTGCTGGATGCCTGGCAACGGCGTTCAGGTATATCACACAGGAGAGGTGGAAACGAAGCACTGCAGCACTGCTGCACAACTCATGCCTCTGCAGACTAAAGGGAAAGTGAATATTCATCTTTTAAATGAACTGTGACAGTTCACCTTAAACCAAAGAGACCAGAGACATTTCCCCAAAAAACTCTTCTTGCTTTGTGTTAGCACAAATAGAGGATCAGAATAAAATACAATGTGCCCTTATTGTATCATGGTAGCAGTGTCATTGTCTTTCTTTTATGCTTATCACACAATCTCCCTCTCCAGCCTCTCCTGTTTTTAGTTTTGGCCCTCTTTTTTTCTCATCATAATTTCCTTTGCTCATCTTGGTCCATTATATTTTGTTAAACACTAACTTGGGTCTGCAATATACTGAAAATAAAGTTATTAATCTCAGTGTTTGCGTAGTAAAGGTTCCTTTTATAGAAAGTGCAATATATTATATATATTATAATACAAAATTGCTTTCATAAACATTGACTGGAAATGACAATAACAGAACTTCAGCCTCCTGGTGGTCACGGTAAGCTACACTGAAAGGGGATCAGTGGTGGGAAAATACTCAAATCCTTATGCAAATAATATCCCAATGTTAAAACTTTAACTTTAAGTAAAAATAGGCTACAGAGGTGCAACATGAACTACCAAAAGTGAGAAATGGTCCCTTTCAGAGTAAATTATTGATACATTAATGCACCAGCTACATTTAGATGGTTTAACTCAAGGAGTACCTATCACTACTTTAAAAGCTGTATGGTGAGTTAATACAATGCATCATATTTTACATGTTTTGAATTTTTTTTTTTAAACCTTTCTTTATTCAGGGGAGCTTCACTGAGAGGAAGCCTCTCTTTTGCAGGAAGATTTCACATTCACACCTGTAATTTAAATCTTTATTTGTTACTAGTAGATAGATAGATAGATAGATAGATAGATAGATAGATAGATAGATAGATAGATAGATAGATAGATAGATAGATAGATTGATAGATAGATAGATAGATAGATACTTTATTTATCCCGAGGGACATTCAATTATCCAGTAGCATACGAAACATATATACATTAAACATACATTAAGCCCATAATTAAAATAACTTATAACACAGTAGCCACAGTAAAACAATGCAAAACAGTAAATAGTGCAAATAGAGTGCAAATGGAAGTAAAGAGAACAGATTTTGTCTATTGTCCTCCCTGCCATGGCTAGGAGCTGTTGTACAGTCTGATGGCCAGGGGGACAAAAGAGTTTTTAAGTCAGTTCGTGGAGCTGGGCTGGGACAGCAGTCTGCCACTGAACACACTCCTCTGCCTGATGAAGGTGTTGTGCAGAGGGTGGTGGGCGTTGTCCAGTATGGACAGCAGTTTGTCCAGGGTCCTTCTTTCTGCCACTGTCACTAGAAAGTCCAAATCTGAACACAACACTGAGCCAGCTCTCCCCCACCAGTCTGTCCAGTCGACCAGCGTCTCTCTTCTTGCTGCTTCCTCCCCAGCAAACTACAGCATAAAAGAGGACGCTGGTCACCACAGACTGGAAAAACATCTACAGCAGTTTTTTGCAGATGTTGAAGGACCCCAGCCTTCTCAGGAAGTACGTGTCAGATCAATGAAGCGGAGTACAAATATAAAGTCTCACTAAACTGTTACACTACAACTTGTCACATTTGTGCCTTGACAGTGCTTGAGTAAACGTACTTAGTTATTTTCCACCTCTGGATGGCATGCTGTATGTTCATCCTGCAACTCTCGTAAGGACAGATAGAGAGGCAGCATCTTTGTTGTTGTTTCTTTATTTCTGGATGTTGCCATGGGGAGGAGGAGGGATAAGGATAAGGATGAGGTTGATTTAGATTTTCAGTGGCACACAATGAAGACATAAGGCGCAGCTATGATACCAGCTGGTGAAAGTAATTTAGTTTATAACTTCCTACACCCATGGGCTGTCGTTCCTCAACAATGCAGCTTGTTGTGTTCAAGATATTGCCGCACTGAAACACACTGTGCACACTGACTGAAGAGATGAAAAAGCTATTAGATGTTTCATCGAGGTAAATGAAAACCCCTGGTACTGCAGGGGGCTGTGGAAATGATTCCTTCTCACTTTGTACACAGTACTAACTTATGTTTAGCACATCACTTGTCTTATGGGAAGACTGGGTTATCATTTGCAGTATTGAACTATTGTGTGTATCCACTTTTGCTATTAATCATTTAAATTATTTAACTTGTTTTATTCTTTCATGATCTGTTTCATCTTGGGTGACAATCATGCCAGAAATAATTGGTGTTCCTAAAACACTGACTGAAGATAGAGAAGCAGGTTGTACCTTCACAGCACCTTCTATAAAAATATTTTTATTATCACCAATGTTAAATTTATTTAGTGTGACAATTGTTATTCCTCTTTAATACAGGATTACTACTTACAACTCAGGTTTAAACAAACATTGTACAAATTTACAATGAATAAATCGTATTCCTAAATATACAATTTAAAGCACAAATAAATATTATTCATATTTGGACCCTTTCCCTCAAACAAAGATACATTTTTGATTCTACTATATAGTTCATTGCTTGCTATTGGGCACATTAAACCCGCCATCTGTTCTTCATGTTGCTGTTATTTACCAATGAGATTGTATTTACCTTTAAATGTCTGTACCTGATGAACATAACAACACTTACTTTCTTATATATGGTCTTCCTTATAAAGTGACATTTATCAGAATCAACATGCCGGTCTCATTCGTCCTTGGTCACAGTATATCCTTGCCTTGCCTAGCGATATGATCTGTTTCCTTATGTGTGTGTGTGTGTGTGTGTTGTAGCTAGGTGATGCCACAGGCCTGAAACTACTCCAAAACGCCTTGGCAGGACATTGCCTGCCCTGGGAAGCTGAGTTACGGTTGAACAGCCAACTTCTTCCCTAAGGTTGGCTGGTCAACCGCAATAGCCAACCTTATGTATGTAAAGCGCATTATATGTTCAGGTACCGAATAGGCTATATAATGCACTTTTCACCAGGTTTCATAAACTCCTGAAGCATTGCATGTTTTTCAATTTCACCAAATCCTCAGAACATAAAAGCAGTATTAGTCGTTTGCATTCAGATTAATGACATCCTAAATATGAGTTGTACTGTCCTTGAAAATCCAGCTTACATTTAAAAAAAAAAAAGCCTTTAAAAACAACCTCCATGCATAGAGAAGGACACTGTTTTTTAATGGGAACACATTCATGTTTTATTGAGTAAAAGACTGAATACAGCTGGTGTTACTGTTTCTCCCTGTATGTACAGCTAAAATGGTGCAGCAGATCTTTTTCAGTGCGCCTGCATGCTCCAGTCCGTCTCTATAGCAACCTGTCTTCGTTACGCAGTCCCCTCTGCTCACCTGTGAGATGCCCAGCTGGGGCTTAATCAAACACTCAGATGTGATAAGGCATTTTAGTTCATCAGCAGATTAGCAATGTGCCTACGGTGTAAAAAATGACTCGAATACTGTCTGGAGCAGATATATTACTAAGATTCATTGTATAAGGACAAAATGTTTGCACATGTTTATTCTGCAATAAATACTGAGCATATACAGTATATGTATATATAGAACACAATGGCAAATGTACAGGGATATAATTAAAGTGTGATACTTATGGTGTGCACATACTGTATCTGGAGTAAGAAAGAGTAAATATTTTTTAAAGAAGAAAACGTTTTTTGTGCATTGTGTGTGCGGGCGCAGGTGAGTGCGAAGCTGCTGAACTTAAAGGGGTTGTGCGTGGATTACATATCATGTGTTCTTCTTGTTCAAATACAAACCACCCTTTACTAGAGAATATTTACAACTTCCTCTTTCAGCACGTCAGTATCCAAGAGTTTAAAGCTTCCAGTATCAAAACACAGTCACATTATATGTCAGTATGTCATATTTCAATATATAATATATCATATAGTAATCAGTTTATATATCTTTTTCAAGAGTATAAAACACAGCTGAAGATGGCGATAGAGGATAGGTAGCTTTTATGATGTCAGGGTCTCATTGGCTGGCACTGAGCGACCTCGCGTCATGGTTACATAGAGTCAAAGTCGTGGTCGTTGGGCTCGATGATTTCAGGGGTCATGACCCTGCCCATGAAGAGGATGGACCCTGGAAGGAGAAGGGACAGGGACAACGTCAGGTCAAAAGACACATATTGTATATGTATAACAGAGGTACACTTACTGTACATGCACATAGACACACACCTGTCCTCCGGTTTCGTATGACAAAGAAAAACGGGTGATCGGCCATGACCTGTGGGTACAGCACCAGAGTCCTGGTCAGGGCGATCATTCCTGAGAGAGAGAGAGAGAGGAAGAGAGGGCAGATGCTATAGTTATTTTCTGACAGAGGGGGGCAGTGTTTCAGAGACCCATTCATACAAAGAAAATTTTATGTACGTATGTTGTAATGTTAATGACCAGGAAGAAGCCTACCTGACCCAACGGCTCCCTCTGATCCCTCCTCGGTCACCTCCAGGTAAGCCTTCTGCACTGCCTTCCCGATGTACAGGTCCTTACCGTCTGTAACACACAAACACACACAGATCGTCACCTTGTCTTTAGAGTACTGATGAGTCAGTCGGAGATGTGAAGATAGTGTGACAAATGAGTCTAAATTGAGAATGACTATGTACGTGCATCCACTAACTCTCCAAGCTGTAAATATAAATGTTTGCTGGTATACCCACATATTAGTTAAATCAACATTACAAACCAGAGCATGGGGTCGCATCATGCAGTCCCATGAGACACTCCTGATGATTTGATTAAAATCACCCACTCTTATCTACCTCCCTGCCAGAATTGACCATGTCCTCTGAGTACATGTTGAGCAGATGACGATGTAGCTAGTACAAGCTGTGCTGTACAGCCAGAAGTCCGGTACAGCCTGCAGATTGTGTTTCCCAATATAATACTAGCTCCACCTGATCCGTGAGAACAAGGTGTTTTGCATTGGTTTGTCAATGAGCATGAAGGATCTTTGAGTTTTTTGAGGATCTTTTAACTGTTTTTGTTTAAAATGTATTTTTTAATTAGTTCTCTACAAGGCTAGAGCATTTGAAGCTGCTCATATAGTGGGATCGGATTTTGTTGCTTTAGATTCAAACTATCCCAACATATTGATGTCTCTCTATTTCTCTCTCTCTCTCTCTCTCTCTCTCTCTCTCTCTCTCTCTCTCTCTCTCTCTCTCTCTCTCTCTCTCTCTCTCTCTCTCTCTCTCTCTCTCTCTCTCTCTCTCTCTCTCTCTCTCTATATATATATATATATATATATATATATATATATATATATATATATATATATATATATATCTCTCGATCTATTTTTATTAGATGTGACAGCTCTGACCTGCCCACTCTGTGCCAGTTACCTTGGTTACCTTAGAAAGCACCGGAGGCTACTTCGCTACAGTCAAGAAGCAGAAATATTGAATCAACTTCTCAGGAGTTTATTTCTCTTACAATCTGTGTCTAAATCTATGTGTTTTATATCCTAATCTATGGGTATGGGCCACATGTTCCAGTGTTCGGCACTGTGTGTGTGTGTTTTTTTATACAACCGTTACCTGTCATGGCAGAGAGATCAGCATTGTTGGTGAAGATCTTCTTTATTCCTAGCTCCTGCAGAGTGCTCTTAAGGTCGACCTTCTGCTCCACTTTGAACCTGAACAGTGCAGTCAGAATTTAAGAAAGTCACTAGTCACATGTTCCTTCGCATATAGTAGCCAAATGTGGACTACATGATGTCTTCATTATATATTTTTCAGTGCAGGTGCAATTGAGTTTAATGACCTAAAAGCAGTTATTCTAACTTAAATATTTGTGGTACCCTAAGAATGAAAAATCTCTTTTAATGAACCGCCATTTTACATCAACATTAATAACCAAATCATACAGAAGGTTCTAATCATAATGGATGCGTTTTAATTCATTGCTGTTGCCATGGCTATTTCCACATGCTAAACTAAAAACAGCGATCACACCAGGGACATTCTCAACTGGGCTTTGGATTCTGGGAAATGTAAGTATTAACTACGACTCCAAGACGTCTAGGTTAATGAAGGCAATCACTAATTGATGCACAAATCATCATCAGCCCACATCTCTTATAAGCAGGAATTGCTGAGTGTATGTGTTCTTGCATATATGTAGGAGTGTTTGTATATTGTGTTTGCGTGTGTCATCCCTCACCTAGGTAGGTAGACTTCCACCTTCTGCCGTTTGACATTGTTAGCCCACTCCTCCAGCAGCGGTGCTTTGATGATGGGCTCCAGGGAAGCCAATGGTACCTCCTGTCGAGGCAGAACGATCATCATGGACATGTCCTCCCCCTCATAGGGTATCTCCAACACCTGGTACACACCACCAGCTTCCTGTGAGCCATCGCTGAACTCACCTGGATGGGGAGGAAACATACATGGAAATGTAGGCATCGAAAGATATGTACGCCTCCTCCTTCTGCTGCTCTTACAATGGGTTTGTGAACCCTAGCTGAGGAGGAACATACACAGACGTAAGCATGTTAAAGCTCACTGATCGACTATATTGATTACAGCGGGTGTGGATTTTCCCTGACGCACTAATTAAAACCCACTGACACTTCACTTTAAAAGGCTTTGGTTACACTTGGTGTGACAATGCATTACATACACTGTATATAGTCCTGCGAGTGCTCTGTCAACCCCAACCAAAATTCAACAAAATTAGGCAGGAAAGGACAGTGTGTTTGTCATTGCACTGCCCTGTTTACACAAGCACTTGCACTTGACTGTCTTCAGGCAGGAAATAAAACCAAGTAAAGCAATCTGGGATCTAGGGAAAACACATCCTTTATATATATATATATATATATATATATATATATATATATATATATATGTATACACACACACACACACACACACACACACACACACACACACGCACACGTACAGTGTACAAATACATTCGCCCACACACATTCAAGACAAATGTACATGTGATCGCACATGCAAATATCTGTAAGACCTAATATCTTTTTACAGATCCACTAAGAGGCTAAGACTTGATATCTTCATAGCCTTGAGGTGGATCGTTAACAGACTTGTCCCTTGTATCTAATTAAACAAAACCCACAGATAAAAACTCTTATCAGGACAAGCCAACGAGCATTTACTTGAATTAAGTGAGACAGTATTTCTTAGTCAGGATGAGATAATCCTTTTATACTCACAACAAGTCCAACTAGATTTGAAATCTAAATATAAGATTATCTCACTTACTCAGGTTTCTGCCATGAGAGATGGAGATTATAGAGCAATTAACACCGCCAGACTTTATCCCAATCTTTGCACATTATTTTTCTTTTGAAGCCTCTTAAAAGGGAAAATTACAACAAAAAGGTTTATCATCCTTCATTAACTTACATGTGGCATTCTGTGTAGTGGCTGCTGATGCAGAGCGAGGCAACATTGCAGCAGAGAGTGGGGTGTGGCTTCCCAAAACATTTTACTTAACCAATATGATTGTGCTTCAAAATGGGAATGCAAACCCGGCCTTCTCCCCAAGGACCTGTCCCTGTTCTGCACACACGCCCACACATGTGCACACACTACACAGACAGACAGACAGACACACACACACCAGTTCACACATGGACAGATTTCCTTGATCCTGAGTGTATGAGTAAATGCGCACCCTGTGAACGTAGGTGTATGCAAGCGTGCATCTCACTACACACATACAGACTGCACCAAAATAACTCAAATCTGCCAACTTTAGCAGCAGCGCAGTAAGAATCTGATGTGACTGTCTTTGGCAGTACGTCAAACAGAAAATGACTAGATACAAAAAAAGAATCACTCAGATGTAACACCATCAGAGCCAACCTGCATGGCTCTTGTGCCTCACAGTGCTGGCAAAACACCAAAGACACCAATATCTGACACATATGGCACAACTTTGATAATTGTGCCATATGTGTCAGATTTCGCTGTCTTTGGTACCAGATTATGACACTGGAAAAATGACTTAAAAATGTATAAGGTATAAAAAACATAATCCGGACCAACTCAGACACTATACATCTACGCCCAAAGTAGATATAGCTACAGAACAATAACCCCGAAACATCATATTTACCATTATTGGACTTAAAGAAGCAGAAAATAAATCTGTAAACAGAGAACATACGTAATTAATGTGAAAACAATTAATAAACTGACTGATTAGTTGATTCATTAATAATAGGCTTTTCTCTGTTTCATAATGATGTAAACTGAAAATTTGATGATATTGGACTGTTAGTATGAAAAACAAGCATCATCTCTACGTGATGTTCATTTATCACTATTTTGTGACATTATTTAAACCAAACAATTAATTAGTTGGTTGTGTCCCTATATACAATAATACGGTATTTATTAAATTTTTCAATTTAAAGAGGTGGTATTATGCTCATTTTCAGGTTCAAAATCTTATTTAGGGGTTGTACCAGAACAGGTTAACATGGTTTAATTTTCAAAAAGCACCATATTTTTCCCATACTGCACATCTCTTTTCACCCAATGTGTTGTACACTCTGCAGTTATAGCTATAACTTTAGATGTGTTAGCCAACGTTTACAACAACTCCGCACTTGAACAGTCTGGGAAGTTACATTGCCTTGTTTATTTTAAATATAATTCACAACCAATAAAGCATACTTACAGGTTGTGGTTGTGAATTACCAGCCCCAAACAGAGTCGGAGTTGCATCGTCTTTTAGGACAAAACGTTGAACTGTTGCTGGTGTTCTGACGATCTACGCTGCCTTGCCGAAAAATGCTCCCATAGCGCAAATCGCTTGTCATCATATCGACGCCACACACAAGCGCCCGACGTAATGTTCAATGCGACACACACACCAGCGACCCACACAGCTTTCTCTTTTTTAAGTTAAAACTTTTCAACATTCCTCAGAACGTAAAGACAGATAAGCAGTATGAAAACCTTCCAGCTGTGTTTTCCTCTGCCGTTGTTGCTGCAGCGGTCTGTGTGACGGTGGGAGCAGAGGGCTCTGTGAGCGGGTGGCTGGCTGGCCTCGCCAGCTCCTCCCGCGGGTTGGTACAGGTTTCCCCTGCAGCCACTTACGGAGCTCCGCGCATTTTTGTTCTGCCATCACTTCTCATAAATCTGTCTTCGAAATCTACACAGCTGATTTCTCACCTCAAAACTTCTCAGAAGTGGATTTAATGATGAAATTCCATACGAAAACTGTAAAATATAAAACTTTCTGTTACTAGCCTCTGTTTGGCGCACACAATGATGATGCAGTGAATAGTGACGATTCTCTCTGACCAATCAGCAGTCTGTTGTGTTTTCACGTTACATTTTAGTATCCCTCAGCTGGCTTGGAACCTCAATGGAAGTGAGGTGATACGAAAAAAAGTACCTGGAAGCAGGTACAGGTACAACATTTCTACAATGGAAAACCAAACAAAGGCGAGTCGAGCCAAAGGTCCTCCGCTCAGACCCCGCTAGCTGCTTGGCAAGCTTTATGACGTGTTTTCATTGTGACCTCACAAGTAAAGGAAGTGAAGGGCTGTTCTACAAAGGAGCTTTTTTCAAGCGGTTCAGAGCAGTGCTTTCTGTGGCAGATGGGAACTCCCTTTGGGCTGGACTTTGGCTTTTTCACTTTGCAAACCTGTTACATGCACAAAAAAAGATATCACCTCTTTAAACAAAAAAAGTGCACAGCGGAGTGCCTACGGTTTGTGCGCATTGACAAAGTATTAAAGTGGAGAGAAGAAAAAAGTCTTTTCTAAAATCTATTCTAAAATTGTTCCAAATAATTGAAAATTAGTATAACAACTGACAAAATATGACATGCTATACTCTAATTAGAAGCTACCCCCCCCAGAACCCCACAGACAGTTGTGTGAAGGGGGAAAAAGACAGTGTTGTTTGCTCTGCCTACTGTCAGAGAAGATTTAACAAAACCTAATATAGTACTACATACCTTAGCACAGACTATCAAAGTACCGCTAATATTGTATGACATTAACAAAATAGCTTTCAAAATGTACGACTAAATCAAACAGACATACCAGAGGAATTTGTGCAGCATTTTTGCAGCAGAGCTCACTAAGCAGAAAAAAGGAGCCTTTCCTGGGAATAACATTCCAAATATGAATATTTCAGATCTGAGATTAACATTTTAAATAACCTCAAGAAATATGAGCATGAAATTCAAGGGCTCCAGAATAGACCCACAAGTACAATTGAGAAGTACAAGTACACACACACACACGCAAACACACGCAAACACACACACACACAAGTGCGCGCACAAACACACACACACACACACACACATGCACGTGCGCGCACACACACACACGCACACACACACCCTGCATCCCTACCGTAGTAGAAGTCTCCCTGTTGGTACATCATGAGTGTCTGAACCTCAGAGCCATCGTCTCTGCTGAAGGAGAAGGTTCTGGTGTTCTCTGGCCGGAACTGGTTTTTCCAGGAGCCTCTGAAGTAGACGGCGTTTACCAGGGTCAGGCGGGTCACGCTGCTGAAGTCCTCGGCCGATAGCAGCTCACGGATCTTACCTGGAGGAATTGATTTGTACAGTGTGTCAGGATATACATTCGTTTTCATTAGCCTAAAGGACAGCGCCTGCTGGGATGCAGCGTTTGAAATTGCACACCAGGATAAGGATAGAGATTTGTGCAACAGAGTTGGAAATGTATTCAGTATATTTTGCTTTTGTCCGATGTCACGTTACAGTATGCTGGAATTGAAGATGAAATTATGTATTCTCATTATTGCCATCCATTCTTTTGCTCCCTTCATCTGTATCTTTCCCTTCCTTCCCCCCTCCCTCCCTCGCTAACTCACTCTCTGTATGATTTTCCACCCAGCTGTTGATCTGCTCGGCCACGGCTGCTGATTCGCTGAAGTCCACTGTTTCCACTTCAGCCCGGAAGTACTTCCTCATCAGATGCAGAAACTCCGGGTTAAAGGTAACACCTTCCTGCAGGAAGAGGCTGTTGGCAAATCGGATCACGTAGTGAGTGTCGTCCTCCGACAGAGCTGCCGTCAGGTTCTGGAGCAAAGAGAACTCCATGCCTGGAGAACAAAGGGAGACATTCATATTCTAAACGTGTGTTTAGAGTACATTGCTGTGTAAAACATTTGTACACCTTCACCTTTGCCCGCCACACATGTGTCCCCCACACATGCACATGCAGCAATAGAGACTGCTGCATGTGCATGTATAGTCTCGCGCATGTTTGCGTGTTTGTTGTATCAAGCTCCAAAAACCGCTGGATCTTACATTTCCCATAAAGCAACTGGATAGCATCTTTCATTAGATCCCCCAGCCCATCCTAAATGTCGTTTTTCAAACGCCACACCTCTAGTTTGTAAGGCAGGATTTCTGCTAAAATTTTATGAACGTCAATTTGTAAGCCCAAGCCAAGATAACCCTGCTGACATCATCACAGTATTTTTTTACTTTGGAAAGCTTCCTCCAGAACTACAGAAGATATATACAACTGTTTTCACAGGCTGAGTAGTCCATCTCACGATTAAACGAGTAAATGTAATGATTTTGTAAAAACGGCACTTGAACTTCCTTTGCTAAAGACTTTCACAATTTAGATCCAACTCCTCTTCCTTCGCCCACCACTGACCCTGATGCTGGTGTACCTGTGTTTATGAATGTGTCTCTTACCTGGCAGCAGATGGCTGAAGCCTACAGCCTGTCGTATCTCGTCCAGTGAAGCTCCTCTGGCTCCCAGCTCCACCATGCCCAGGGCCACAGCCACACTCAGAGGAGAGAAAATAATGTTATCCTGATCGCCCGCTGCCTGCAGCTGGTGGTACAGTCTGACTGAGAACTCTGATGTAGCGTCCTCTGGAATGTCCGCCGCTCCGCCACCGTAGCGCAGCACCAGGATGGAAAGGAGGAGGAGCGGGGACAAAACGTCCAGGATCAACATCGCAGCACAGGCCACAGATAACTGCGTGAAAGAGGGGCGTTTGAAGAGGAAGGTCGGTTGGATAGAAAGAAAAAGAAGAGAACTTTAATGTGATGATGGATGGAAGGAGGCATAGACAAGGGAGACGAAGGGGGAAAAGAGAGAATGGGAAGTGAATGAGGCAAAGAGGGAGGGAAAATATGTTTGGAGGAAAGATAGAAAGATGGATGGATGGGGGGTTAAGGAACAGGAAATGAGTGATTGGGGAGATGGAGGGGGGGATGGGCGGCCAAAGAGGTGTGGAAGGAAGGACAATGGATGGAGGAAAGACAAAATGATTTGGGGAGGGATGGAGCCAAAAGTAAAAAGAGGAGGATTGCAGAAAGGATAGAGAGGTGAAAGCAGAGAGAAGAGAATTGCAGAGGGGAGGGAGAGGGAGAGAGAAAGAGAAAGAGAGGTAGAGAAGATTATTGCGTTAGGCATAAAAAGAGATGAAGGACAAGAGGATTTTGTAAGGGAGTGAGACAGAGATGAAAGAGAGAGAGAGCAGAGGAGAGAGACAGAAAACACACATCAGTCAATCGTTCTGCCAATTTAATCTGTGAAGGCAAAAAAGGAATGCACTGATAAACAATCGAATGCCCCCCCCTTAAAAAAACGGGTTTAAATAGTGGTGTAAAATGAAAAACTGGCATAAAAGGAGAGAGATTTAATAGAAAAAACAAAACAGTTACAGACTCAATTGACTTTAAGTGAAAGGCAGTGTGTCAGTGAAGAGACAGAACGAGGGGAAAAAGGTAAAAACACACACACAACCTGAGAGTTATGCACATGTACAGAAATAACAGATAGAAAGAGATGGAGAGAGAGAACGAGGCGATGAGATATAAACAGGAATGTGCTGTAACTACAGCTGTAATGCTGACTGCAGTCAGTATTGCTGTTCGTAGCACATCTGCTAGATGAGTTCATACATATTTTATGGCCATTCTTATCATCTTGAGTTAAATCAGCTTCTTTTAAAATCTGCTTCACTCTCTGTGTGTTTGTGTGTGTGCTTGAGCCTTTGTATGTGAACGGACGAGGTTATGTCTGTACAGAAAGACTGATTAGGAAGAGGCCTTTAACCCCCCTTCCCCATCCTCCATCCTTCCCCTCATCTTTCCTTACCATCACACTCCTCGCCTTCTGTTTCATCTCCCTTCTCGCCCGTACGTTATCTATCTTCACTGATCTCCTCCTCTCTCTCATGTCTCTACTTTCCTATCTTTTCTCCCTTTTAACCCCGCCTTTTGTACCTTTTAAAATGACAAGAAATGTACACACACTGCACCATCCCTCTGGTGCTGTTGTTGCCAGGCAACATTGTTTTCTGCTGCCCAAACAAAAGAAAAAGACAGAGTCAATGATATATAGCATAAAGAGAGAGAGAGACAGAGAAAGATATCGAGAGACGATGATAAAATGTGAAATAACACGGGGACATTTGTTTGGCTGTTTGTCTCTGCTGTGCTGTCATCATCATACAGTTTGTAAAGAGGATTCTATTAGCAGTCCCATGCAGCGCTGGAATCTGCTGGCTGCTACTGTATGTGTGGGATGGCAGGTGACTGTGGGCACAATGTACCTGAGTGTCAACAGCAAAAACAATAGGCAGCAGCCAGAAAATTAGTGCCCCATCCTGCTGTGTACTGTCCTTTTCCTTTACTGTGCTCTGGTATGTGACAAACCTGGGGGACATGTCAAATCCATTAAAGGCTTAGTCTGGTGATACATTTTTTGTTATCCCAAATTCCATGAAAATACCAAAACCAACAATGAATTGAACCTATTTTACTATGCAGCTTATTCCTCTGTGCCATAGACCTCTATTGTTGTTTAGAAACTATTAAAAGCACGTCAAGGAGCCACACTGTGTGACATGCACTGGCTGACATGTTCCTTTATTACATGGGCACTGCGTTTTATTTTGACTCAGTCCCACATAGAGCTCCTAATCTCTGGCTGAAAATAGTTCCCAAACATATGCAAAAAAAAATGTTCCCCTGTTTGAATACAGTTTGCAAATACTACAATTCCCAGCTTCCTTAGGAAATTATATTTGTTTTTTCAAAAATGTATTTATTTGTGAGTCATTTTAACCTTATCCTTAAAGCAATGCAATTTCCAGAGTTGACCACCCCTGTCTACATTTTACAATGAACTTCATCTAGGTTATAAGATCTGAAGTATAATTCCTCATTCTCTTGCAAAAATACACATCACTTCCATTTTACGTCCTTCCAAACTGACAGTCAGGATATCTTCTTGTTTGTTCTCCGTCACTAAGTATTCTGACAAACTGCTTTCAACAAGCATGACACTGACCAAACTGCCAGCTGGATCTGCATCTGCTTAACTCAGCAAATAGAAATTCATTTGAGTTCAAAGAGTTTCTTCCCATGGATATTGTTACTTTTGTCAGCCATTTTAAAATTTAGTCTCAGTCTTAGTCCTGTGTCAAGTGTCCTTATTAGTTTTAGTCATATTTGGTCCACTGTATGCTATTTTTTTAATCAAGTTTTGGTTGACTAAAAGTCTGGGTATGTTATTCTGATTTTAGTCAAAAGAAAATCAAAAGTATTTTAATCTAGTTTTAGTCATTAACCGTCATTTTAGTCTTTTCTTACCCATTAGTATAATTTTGATAAGCATTTTGGTCATTCTGATCTAACCAAAACAGAGATATTTATCATTTTAGTCTTTATTTCACTCATCTCACTTATAGATAAAATGTTTTGCAAAATTTGAATATTAGCTTTGTTCTCATTTTTATTGCAAACGAGACGTTAACTTACCTCAATTACTGGGTGGTTAGCTTTGATATGCCGCTTCAAGTTCATAGTGTTTTTTCCAGAAATCTTTAAACCACATTGCTATATAATTAGGCAACTGTTTTTTTTGTCTGCCTCACTGTATTTGAAATGGGACCAAATATCTAAGACCTAGCATGTTGTGTTCATCACCAGACCTCGCCTCCTCCACAGTACAGTTTTCCCTCCGCGCCAGGTGTCGCCCTCAGTCGGCCAGCGTGCAAAGCACAGGAAGAAAAAAAATACGCTGAATGACCACACTGAGTGAAAATTTAGAGGGAGAAAATATGGCCTGTAATATTTTGTCTCCTCATTATACTGACAAAAGAGAGTGATGTTATTAACGTTTTTATTTTATGAATTACCTTTTAGTGTCGTCATTTTTCATCAACAATATTGCACTTTGCTGTTCGTGTATTCATATGTGTGGACAATTTGTGGAGTTGTGCACCGCGCTGTATCAATACAATATGGTGACTTTGGTCATATTTAAAAGTTATTGTCAAAAAAATACAATAAAAAGAACAAAACCAACAAGGAGAAGATCTTTCAAACGTTTTGTGCTTGTGTAGCTAAAGCCTGATATAGTAGTTTATTTTGAGTCTGTCCCACATACACCATTGGGCTGCTGTAAATACTCAGTGCACCAAATGTGTATTTATCCGCCTCTGAAATAGTCCTCGCAAAAAACACAATTTACTCCTGTTTGAGTAATGTTTGCAAAAAAACTACAGTGCCCAACTAGTTTAAGAAATGACTTTGATCCTTCTAAACTAAATTTAACTATATATATACTGTTCTTAAAATGTTGGAGCAAGAGACAGCGCAGGGAAGTCAGAAAGTACTGAGAGATGGACTGATGCACTACTGGTTTCGGTTCTTTTCATGGGACTTGTTGACAGTAACAAAACAATAGGATTTGTTGTTCAATGCGTCCATTCATCATGTCCAAAAAGTGTAAATGGAATCAGGGTAGGTTAATGAAGTCCTGTGATATAAAAATACTGAGAGATATTGAAGATATTTAATCTGATCATATATTAGGTTCAATCTGACTCATTCAGTAGCAGGTAGGTCCATCATGTTGGCAGGCACAATAGGTAAAATGAGCAGGTAAAATAAGCCTTGTTGCTTTCGTGATGCACCCCTTCAAATAGATTTAAACAGAAAAAAATCAAATGACGCCTGAAGGCACAAAACTGATGTACTGCAGTTAATATACTGTTAGCCACACGTGTTCACCTGCTCTCACATGTCGTGCTGTGAGTCAGACATTGCGGAGAGAGTGAGAGAGATCTAGAGAGAGTAAAGAAAGGCTGAGGGAAACGAGGGGGTGGCTGGCAGAGATGTAAATGGAGGTAATGTTTCTGACCTTCTGAGCTGTGGGAGCTGAACTTTTCTGAGACAGACAGCCCTGCTTTCTGTAAGGAAAGACCCAGCCATGCGGTTAAGCCAGGGAAAGTAGTGTGGAGCATCATTGTGTGTGCCCCTGTGTGTGTGTCTGTGTGCAAGTGTGCATGTGTGTGTGTGGATGATAACACCATGGGTGGCTGGCTATTACTTGTAATGGTGACACCATTCTGACCTTTTGAGTTGTGGCACGCTGTGTGCAAGGGAATCCCACACTTTGCCAGTTCGGCCATTGATGACTATGAGCCCAACTTCAATTCCGGTGGGGTTCCCAGCATGCCTCCCAGGTAAGCGGGGAAACCCAACACCCAGCTATAAAATGTTGTCTCGTGACTAAAAGAATTGAATATGTCAGACAATCTTTCATGGTTTAAGTTGCAAGTTTAATCCTGACAACTTGATTAATTCCGTGCAATTAAACTCACTGGCCTTTAAAAGCAGCCTCTAATCTCTCTGTGTAATCCTAATTCTCAGACAGAATAGGCCAGCGGTTGACATTTCGACAATTAAAATGTGACGTCACCCAAATCCACTGCACGCACGTTAATCCTTACTGCCATTTAAACCCAACACCTTGAGACGGCATGCTTCGGAGGCCAGGGGAATTTATTAAACATGGACATCCTCATCCATGGTTCAAATTCACAGGTACACACACACACACACACTTTTAAGTACATACACTTCCAAGCTAAAGTTACCAAGGCAACTGCAAGTGATGGACATTTTTCGTTTTGCCAAGCTGACGGAGAGAATTTTTTACCCTTAAAAACATTTCTTCCTCCTTCCGTGTAGGCAGATAAACGCTCTTTCCTTTTTTCAAACTACTCAGCATTTTCTG